GGCGGGAGGGGGAGGACGGCGGGGCGGCTCCCGGTGCTCCCGTGGGGACCCGTCACCTCCCTCAGTGGGAATCCGGGGTGGAAAAGAGCTGCTCGTTGTCTTAATTTGCCGTTTATTTTCAAACAGGTATGCTTTTACCAGGCGGGGAATAAATATTTTAGTCAACTTCACTTCTTTACTTCCTTTTCTCATTTTAGCAGTTTGGGCTTTTCTTCGTTTCTCACTCCCCCTTGACGGACAGGCCGAGGCGTCGGCGTGAGTGGTGCTCACTTTACCTCAAGCTGGTGTTACCGCGGAGTTGGCATTGTAGCTGCCTGCCCGGGGGAGCCTCTGCTAAAATCCCTTCTCCTCCCAGCACCGGTAACACCATCAGTCGCAGCGGGAACTCGCTATCTCTCTGCCCCACCAGTGGTGGTTGGTGGCATTTCCCTGCCACCGAGGTGCTTTTTGCACGCTCGCCTCCACCTCCCGGACCAAAGCCTTTATGGTCACTTCGTGGTGCAGAAAGGTTCGCCTGCCTGGACCGTAGCTGCGGGCTGCAGGAGAAGGAGCTTCCATGGCAAAAGCCAGCAGGGCCACAGGTGCAGTCCCAGTTCATCCATTCTGCACCCTACGTTTCAACCCCAACAAACCCTTTCTGCTGGTGTGGGTGCACCAGCTGCTTCTCGCACCCTCTGCCTCTCATCTCCTGCCAGCTTGTATCTCCCTCTCCCACGGTCCGTGTAGGTGTAGTGTGGATGGCTGCATGACACCCTCTGGATCACTGAGGGACAGAAGGGGAGCTGCTCCACCCGAGTTGTGAGCTTTCCTCCTGGCAGGCAGCAGATCAGATGCTATCTACCTTTCCCTCCCCCAGTGCACTAGCACCTGTGTTTCTTGGTCGTGGTGAGCAGAGATCGCCCTCCTCCTCCTGGCTGAGTCACCCTCCGCTCTGCTCCCGGACCACCCTGGCTGCTGCAATCCCAGCCCTACGGATGGGAGAGGCACACTGGCCATCGCTAGTTACTCCACCGCAAGCAGAGCTGCTGTGCCTGCAGCTTGGAAACCAGCAGGTATTTGGGAGTAGGGATCACCTGCCCTGGGGAAAGGAAGAGGAGCCATCTCAACCCCTGGAGGCCTGGACGGACAGGGAAATCCAATTTATACCAATGCTGCCTGAAATTTGAAGCCAAAGCAAGGTTACCTCATGCTGATGTATGGACAGCTGGTACTTCTCTCACGTGAGAAGAGTCAGATCAAAACTCTGCATGAATTTCACTGACTTGAATTACATTTTATTCTGATGGCACTAATCATGGCAGGAGGTCTGGGGAGAGCTCTCAAATGGATCTGTCGCTGGGTAGGGCAAGGTGAACACCAACCTGCTTCCCAAATTGCAGGCAGACAGTATAATGTTACCTGTGGTTCCTGTACCTCCTTCAGGTGAAACCACTGCGGCGTATTGTTTATTTGACGTGTGGTTGGCATTGTCTAAAGCATAGCTTCAGAATGTTTTTTTAACATTATAATTTAAATCAAAAGGAAACCAGAAGAATGAGTCATAATCCTCAGATTGGTATATGGCCATTTGCCTTGGCCACATGTTTGAAACAGCATGGGCTACTGAATGAATCATGACAAAGGATCACATTCCTCTGCCATACATGATGTTGGGCAAGATGTGGACTAAGTGGAGTGCCACCAACACAAGGAGTAAAGATCCACAAGTCTACCAAAGAACAAAAAGGAACAAGACATATTAGCAATATTAATATATATTCATAATAATGTGTTTGTTATAGCCTAGATAGACTTCTTTATTAAAATGATTGTTTATTTATTCTATGAAAATCTTTTTTGAACAATTGACACCAATAATTATTGTTTATAAAATATACAGTCCGGTTTACTGTTTCATCTATTTCAGATTAGATAACTTTTCTTGATTGCAATTAATTCCTTTATATTGGCAAAATGATTGTACTTTGATAATTTTACAAAGCAGTTAAGCCTTGAGAAGAGCCACAACAGAGCTGCAGAGCTTGGAGAACAGGGAGAAGATGAACAATCTAACCAGAGTAACTTCTGTGCTTTGACTTTGGCTTTAAAAAATGTGATGAAGTTTATGACAAACTATTCTCATTAGTTTAACTTTCAGCCTGCAAGCATGCGGACATGCTTTTAAAATTAGGTCTGTATCTGAGGGCTTCCAAACACATCCCACTTAGTTTCCTATGTTTGTGCACCCAGCAGGATGTGCTGGTTCTAAGAAAGCTGAGACCCATGTCTGCTACTTAAAGAGCACAGAAGGAGGAAGGCATTCAAAGGCATAGCATCAAAGCAGCCTCCAAGGAAATCTGCAGTGTGGTAGTCAGCAAAAGATTATTTTTTAGTGTCATTAATTAGCCAGTGTTGTCACCTTATACTTGGTAATATACATGTTCCTTAAAACCTGGACATCTCAGATGGACAAATTTCTGCTCGGAAAAGGGAGGCCTGTGGCAGCTGACCCCAGAGGAACACATGAAATCCCAGCTGCAATCCGGCCATTTGTCCAGTGCTCCAGGGTGTTTGTGCTGGCAGCGGGCAAGTCTGTGTGCTTCAGGAAAGGTGCAGAAGGTAACAGGAAGTTGTGGGACAGCCTGCTCCAAGGAAGGTTTTCTCCCAGTTCCCATTTGAGACAATACAAACTTTGTATTCCTTCCAGACTTTTTTGTAAAAAAGCCAATGAGATATCTAATTTCAGAACTATTCAAGCCATTTTCTGCTTCTTCATGACACAAATAAATAGCAATAGAAATGTTACAAAGTCCAGATGATCGGTGCATTTAGTAATGCATGTGAAAAAGCATTTATTCATGAATTTCAGTGGACCATATTCTACTGTAATGTTTGATAAATGAGCAGATGCTTCTGCACTAATTGAAAGTATTCACACTCAGGTTTTGCTTCAGGTTAGCAATGAGATTGTTGTAAGGGAAAAATGAACTCCAGGTATGTATGTTGGATAATATTTGCAAAGTGTAGTAGGAAGAAAGCAGTCAGAGCTTTGTATGTTGCTGCCAGTAATCCCTCCAGGCAGCTCACCAAAAGACAAAAACAGTGGTAGAAGAACTTTGCTACAAAGAGAATCATCACAACCAGGAACTTTCCTGGTGGGAAACCATAAAAGTGCTTGAATCAATGCATTCGACAGAAGATCTAAACGTTACACTATGTGGCAAGGGACAACCTATTGACTTACCTGTAAAGAAGGCATACAAAGTATTTTATACGTTAAGCATGACCAATTTTAAATTGTTCAAAAGACCTTAGCTTTAGAAATGTGTTTTGATTACTTTATTGAACTATTATAATGTTTCATTTCATCCATTAACATTTTAAGAGGGAAAATGGTGAAATAAATTAGCGCATCAGTTTGCAGTGCATGGGATTCTCTTGCACAGCCTGTCAAATTTATATGCTTCTTGTATGGATGCTTTCTAGCTGATATGCCTTATAAAGACTGCTAGCTGTGCCAGAAAAGCTTGTCTGATCTTTGAATCAACAAGTACAGGCTTAAGTGTATGCATATGCAATAGTACAACTGCTATCTGCTTCAATACAGAAGCTGGTTTAAGGCAGCTTTATAGTATACATGCTTAAAAGAAGCTGTTTTCAAACACCCATAATTTTTAAAAAATAACATTAAAACCAACAATGTGTCTTTCAGTACTAATTGCATTTTTTTTTAATTACATAACATGTTGTTAACTCCATAATTTGAGGTTGGGTAACTCAGGCCCACAGGGATTACACAGCTTTTGTACAGGGAGTCTTCCATAGGATCTGAAACAGATCCAGCTCTTTTGTCTTCTAAACCATGTGCTAGATGCCATCTGTCCTTTCATACTTTCAACTGCATCAAAACATTTTTTTTCCAAACGAAATATATTGGAATGATGGATGCATCAGAAAGTATCCAGAGGAGTTAATACTTAGTGCAGGCTTTGGCCAAAACTTACCTTTGATGTAAGTTCCCACTAGGTGCCACCTTACATCTGCCAGCACCAGCACTGAATTTGATTCCTGGTCTGTAGTAACTTCATATTTTGAACATCAGCCATATTTGCTGTGGCTCCATCTGAAATACCAGAATTAAAATATGTTTAATATCCTGGCTTAAATGCTCAAGGGCAAATACCTAGTGAATTACAACTTTTAAATACAACTTTTGCTTCCACAGTACTCTATATACATATTAACATTTCTTGTCCATCTTTCTATCCAAAAATTTGCTCCCAAGAAGAAGACCAGGGAAGTGGTGGACAGCTTTCTCACAAGCTACATCAGGTTTTATTCCCAAGTAAATATAACTATGGTTTGAGTCCAGATCATTACATTTACAGGTTTTAAATTGTAGAACTAACTCATTTATTACAAATCTGGACAGAGACAGGAAATGGCCTGCAGTGCTGGGCTGCATCCAACTTAAACTGCTGCTGTACTGTGCTGGTCCAGAAGTGGAGCCATTAATCCAATGTTTCCCAGCCCCATTCCAAAAGATTCATTTGTAATTAATTCCTCTGTGGGAGATTTCACCCTAACCAAGAAGCTAATGTGTCTACAGAGTATACAAGATGTGTTTTATACCCAGAAGGTACATGTTCACAGATTTACCTGTGTTTCAGCTTCCTTTTAAAAATGAGTGTTTCACAGATGATCAAAGGATGTATGCATACTATCTCATTCTGCCTTACTGATACTCTTCTTAACATGGTTTCTCATACTTTTACACAGCTAAGATTTTTATCTGCAGTGATATCTGTCACAGCATCTATCATTTGTGAGGTGTGGCAAGCACGCTTTTGCAATGAGGGCTTCATATGTGTACATGCTGGAGAAGGGCAATGCCAAAGTATCAGCTGATGTTTTGAGGACACTATGTTGAAATGACAGCAACATGTATAGTCAGATCTGCAGCACGTCGCTACCAAATCCAGCCTTTTCCATAGGTGTGTGTCACTGCTACTGCACCCACTTCACTGGGTGTGTCAGCCTCCTGAAGGCGTGTAGCTGTTTGTAGGGATGATTTTGCACCTTTGCTTCTGGTAATGGCCTGAAATATAGGGCATGGTCCCCTGCAGAAGATGCTTATAGCAATATAGTTAGGTGGAAGGGTGTTGATTATGCAAGCTCTGTGCTATTACACGGTCTCCAGCTGTAACGTGAGTCTGGGTGGTAACAACAGTGCTGGGGATACCCTTTATTTGTGTGATGTGTGGAGGACAAAACTGTGGTAAAGGAGTTACATAAAAGCTGTGTCAGCCTCTGGGCCTCTGAACCGGCGTGACCTGGCGCATGCTCCACCTTTCACTCTGCCAGGGGGATATTCTGTAGAACTGTATGCTCTTGACGGACAGCCAGAAAGCCAGTCCTCATTAGAGGCTTGCATTGTCCTGTCCTCAGGAGGTCATGTGGAAGTATTTGCCATGGGGGTTATACATTTTATAAACAGCAGGTTAACCATATAACACCCTACTGAGATAAGCAGGTATTATTAATTTCATTTTATGTATGGTAAAATCAAGCCTAGAGAAAAGCAGCGCCAGTTCCAGGTCTTTGGAATAGAATACAGCAAAAATGTTGGGATCTTACTTAAGTTAGCTAAGTCCTGTCAACTCACTGGTATAAACCCATGATTCACTGGTCTTTCCAGTGCCATATTCAGGCATGATTGGTTACGGCATGAGCCTCAGGACCCTACTCAGAAAGAACATGAAGATCCACTAGGTAGCAGTAGGCAAGACAAACATAGATAACATAATATTTCCTATGCTGTACGGTGAAATTCCAAATTTCTCACAAAACATACAAGAGTTTTCTTGTACATTTTCATGCAGTGGCTGCTCTAAAGCTTTTTAGTTGTCAGGGTCCTCAACAGAAAATTTTGTAGTAGTTGTGTGTGTGTGTGTGTGTTAATATAATTATATTAATCTCTTAAAGGTGTTTAAGAGAACAAAAGAAGAGCAGAACAGATAATATAAGAATATTTAGTTGTTGAAATCAGAAAAAAACATCTGTTACCTTGTAAAGGACCTTGAAAATGTCTTCTACAAGCTCCTGTCCACACTCAGCCCAAATTGCCATACTTCTGTCTCTCCAGCCTGGGGACAGGCAGGGAGATCCCCAGGGAGGGCTTCTGTGCAGGTACGCCGTGCTTCCTTGTGGGGTTTCAACTGCCTGTTGCAGGGTGTTGTGGCACTGGGATTGGCGTTAGCCTGTGAGCCATCCATTCTTAGCGCAAGAGGCAATTAACACTCAGGAAGATTTTACCAGGATTACAGAGCTCTGATGGGAGTGAAGTCACCTGCCCCCAAGGTAAGAGTCACAACTCAACATGGCAGCTAAATGGACTTCCAGAAGGGAAGGTGACACCCTAACTATTGTGCTTTTAAAAAGGCAGCTATTGCATATGAGTAGTTGCACAAAATATGCACATTTTACCTGTTGTGCACATTTTATCCACCTTGAATCTAGCCACAAATCTTTATTTTGCCTCAGGTCTTCTCTCAAAATTGTAGGTCTTATAATCTATGTAATGGAGCAAGATGCTTAAACCCAATTCTTGGGAGGCCTGACAATGAGAGAGGATCTATCTGTTAGAGGCAATATTAAAGTATGCCCAAATGACAAAGACCAACCAGATACTGTAATATCTGCCCCAAAATCATAGGAACAGAGGTGCTCATGGACACAGAATAATAGCTCTGTATCTGAATTACATCAAGAATTCACAAAGCAACTGGTAGAACAGATCCTCAT